CACATATCATCTCTCTTCCTGTCTGACATTTTCCCTGAATTCCTTGCTTCTGGTTACATTCCCCTTGACCATAAAATCTCCCGTGTTATCCCTGTTCACAAGTCCGGGGATCAAAATTCACCTCTTAATTATCGCCCCATATCGCTCATTAGTACCCCATCCAAAATTATTGAACACATCATATTTTCAAACGTCATAAAATATATTGAGTCCAATAACCTTCTCAACGTTAATCCACATGGATTTAGGAAAGGACTATCATGTGAAACGCAACTCTTAGAATTCGTACATAACATTCACTCTAACCTTGAACATAAAAAAACATGTCGATGCCCTCTTCCTTGACTTTGCAAAAGCCTTCGATAGGGTACCTCATAATCGTCTTTTGACCAAACTTCATTATTTTAAAATTGATCCCCTTATCATGGCCTGGATATCGAAATTTCTTTCTGGTCGCTCTCAATACACCGTCGCAAATAACTCGGAGTCATCTCGAACTAACGTAACATCAGGCGTCCCTCAAGGAAGCGTACACGGACTTACTTCTTTTTCTAATCTACATTAATGATCTCCCTCTCTGTGTCTCTTCCATCATCCGCCTTTTTACAGATGACTGCGGAATTTATCGCACAATCACGAATACTGACGATCATTCATCCCTGCAAACCGACTTATCATCAATTGCTCATTGGTGTGACACGTGGAAGACGCCGTTGAACTTTGATAAATGCAAAGTGCTGACCTGTTCTCGTATTTGTCACTATCTTCTTACACCCACAATATTAACGACACTGTGCTCAGTAGTGCTTTAACCTACAAATATCTTGGTCTTCATATAACAAGCGATTTAACATGGGCCACTCATATTAATCACATAATCGCTAAGGCAAATAGCACACTGGGTTTTCTACGAAGGAACTTAAAACTCGCCCCCCTAAAGTGAAACAGATCGCATACCTAAATTTAGTCCGCCCCAAGCTAAAGTACGCTGCATCCGTATGGTCCCCGTGGTAAAGCTACCTTAAACGAGAACTAGAATGTGTGCAAAACAGAGGTTTAAGATTGATTTATTCTGATTATTCTTTTTACACTAGTGTTTCTGGTTTGCGAGAGCGAGCGAATCTTTCTGAGCCCGCTTTAAGAAGGAAGATATCTCGATTGACGCAGTTTTTCAAGATCTACCACCACAACCCTACGCTTAGGAAAATTTTACTCCCACGTCCCATTTCGTTTTCCCCAAGACTAGACAACAGCTGTAAAATAGAGCCTATATTTGCCTCCACCACCTCCTACGCCAATTCTTTTCTTCCTTTGACAATTTAGAATGGAATGCTTTACCTGATAACATAGTTACAACTAATAATATGGACGTATTTAAAAAGCTACTAGGTGAACATTTAGATCCCTGTGCAAACAATGCTGAGTCTTAACATGTTAATATCGTGCCCTTCATTTACTTATTTTTTTGTGTTTATTTGTATTTTTATTGCTGCTCACGGATTTGTATTACTATGTTCTATATTGAAATGTTCAGCTTGTCATTCATTGTGTTGCTGCTCACGAGCTTGTATATCTGTTTTTCCATTGAAACTTTTAGTGTCCCCTATCTTTTGTAATGCCCTGTAACGGGGCCTTCAATGTATTATGAAATAAATAAATAATAGATAGCTACCGGACAAAGTGAATCGATAATCTTTTAAAGAGGGAACGAAGCGCAAAGCAACCAGCAGCTTTACAAACCTGCCAATTCAACCCATATGAAACAGACCAAATGATTTTGGTATATGCAAATTCAAATTTTAATAAAAATATTAACAAATGCAGTCTTCTTAACTATCGATTTACCCAAATACGCCTTTTTAAACATACAGGAAGCTACAAAAAAGAAAGAAAGAAAAACGCTGGAAAAGCCAGTTTTATATTGCTTCTAAAATCGAATTAAATAACCCCACCGTCTGAATTGATTTTCTGGTGTCTTTTAGTTTAACTTAAATTTATGCAACTGCCGTGCGGAATAAATATGTGGTTCATCATTTTTTTTTAAGAAAACGGGGACAGACATGGTCCAGACATTTTTATCATTTCAAATTGTTGCTTCAATTGTGTTCGAAATTCTCATAAAATACTCTGCATCTATATATAATAAAGCCTCGTTATTTTCTACAAAACAAACGAGAAATATATCTATGACAATTGTTATCCAGTTTGTAAAACCTTTTAATGCATATGCGTCATTACTGGTTACAATAAACGGCACAGGTAGTTTCACCGATCCAAAAAGTACAAAACGAGAGTGTTGGTAACAGTAATTAAACATGAGGAAGGTACATAGAAAGGGGGGACGGACAACGCAGTCTTCGTTGTCCGTCCCCCATTTCTATGTATCTTCCTCATGTTTAATTACCGTTATCAAGACGCTCGTTTTGTACTTAATTCGTTCACGTGAGCTTTCATGTCTTGTCCCAAGCAACCGACCTCGGAGTTTGATCCTGATGAATTCTTGAAAGTATTCATTGTCCGCCCCCCCCCCCCTTTTTTTTGTGTATCTTCCTTATGTTTAATTACCAAAAGGTACCATTGCGAATGTTTATATAAAACAGAGAAAATAAACATAGGGACGGGCAGAACAGTACCTCTTTCGAAAGAGGTGCTGTTCTGTCCGTCCCTATGTTTATTCTTTCTGTTTTATTTAACTTCACCAATGCGCTCACTTTTGAACTAAGTATAAATGTTTATACATTGGTCCTTAGGATATACAACGCGATTTCGCGCAAATGAGACGACTCTGAAGGTGTTGTACACAACGTATAAAACGAAGTGTAGTGCGCTATGGTGCCTCGGAAACGTGCCCAACTGATTCGTTTGTCAAGTCTTTATTTGGATCAATCGAGTTAGAGATGGTGACGTCACACCTGCGAAATGCTACGGATCGCAGCGATCCTGGTGGTGGCGTAGCAAAGGATGCGGATACGGTAGACGCCCGTTCTTTTGCGTCTCGCTTTGTAACTGACCGCTCAACGGAAATTCCATCCGCCGGGAGTTGGGACGCTGCGACGACAGCGATTTCTACGTCTGTTTCTTTTCTTCGCCGGCGCTTTTACAACCGACCACCAGCGTGCTGACAGCCGGTAACAATCACCGGTGACCCTTGCGACGCCATTTAGGACGCTAAACAGACCAATCGGAGACGCGTAGAAAAAAAAACAAAAAAAAAAAAACAAAAAAAAACAACAAGAAAACATTTTCTGCTAACAGAGCTGAAAGAAAAAACATGTTGATCTTTTGCTACAAACCGAGCACCGCGGCGGAGTGAGATCGGACGCAGCATTAAATTGTGATCGTCTGTCTTTCACGTTGGAAGCTACTGAAAACCCGGGCTTCGTTTGCTAATTTCAAGTTGTTCTGCTACCCTACAAAAGCTGACACCGACCGGTGAATGAAGGAGAACCGATGTCTGCCAGGTCAGAGGCCGCGAGATCTCTCTCAATATTTGTATGTTCGTGAGACGTCTTTACCAAAACACTATCCGATTGTGAACTCGGGAACGGGTGATCAAAAATGTCTCATTGGCTGATTACGCGTAAGCTGCGGCGCCCTCTCTTTCACAATAACACTAATCGGACCCCAGGCACTGTAACAATAGTGCCGCCTGCGTGTAGCTGGCGCGAGCGTGGATATATATATATGGCATCAAACAACGGTTTGAATTAAATCTACTTGACGTATCTTCACCAAAAAAACTTATGAGTTGTTTACAAACAAACTGAAGCAGAATCAGGTTCTATTAGAATATTGTAATTTATATTAAAAACACCTAAAATTGTTGTAATCATTAGCAACATAATTTATCAACAGCGATGCTACTATCTAAAGCACAATATTCTCGTACTAAAATATCGCATTTCAGATTTCAAAAAAAAAAAAAAAAAGCCTAAAATTGACTTCACCATCAGCGAGACAGTTTATCAACAACGACGCATCGTTCATTTTCTTGTTGTTGAGATACGTAATCAAACTTTAGAGCTTTTTTCTTGGTAGGTTCACATTTCTAAACTGAAATCAATTTAAAACCGAATTAGATTTAACTCATCATCAATGAGATGCAATGTATTTACACCTTAAGTAACTAAATATTTTTTAAATGTATGCCAATTTAAAAAAAAAAAACATATTTAACGATAACATAGTTGAATGTCTAGACTCTAGAGCAAATCGTAAATCACGTCACTTGCACTTTCTAGTGTTATGTTGAAACATACAAGAATTTACATTCTTTAAACAACATGAATATGCCACGTGTGGACACGACCCCAAATGTACCATGTAGTCATGAGATATATTAGATTTACTAGGAACGTAACCCAGTTACTTCTTGTGGTTAGCTGTAACGGTGACAAGACACACTTGAAAGCATGTTCACTGCTTGACACTCTTAGCGCGAACACAACATGAACGCTTCTTCGCATTTTCCTTCGAAAGGGCATATGCGGGCATCAAATTTTACCGCATAGGTTAGTGCCCCAAATGACTACTTTCTATCATACTATGGTTGGTGACGGGTTAAGTGTTCAGGGGTAGCTCCTCCCACCTCTTTCCATTCTAACAGAACGAACGGTGGAGAGGAGGCGACCTCCTCTCCAGTGTTCGCTCTTCTATATAGTAGCTTTTATTACAGCCCTTTGATTCTTGAAGAAAAGCAAATACGGGAATCGCTTGTTTGCACTAACATTGTCGCACCCTTTACGGGACTTTGTCATTTGTTACATTGCAGCTCGAGTAACAAAGCCCATAACTTGATTACTTTTAAGAGTAATCTTTCAGCTTTGTATACCGTCTAAGTCAACGCATAATTGAGATTTTTATCTGTATAATAACAGATAGCGTATGTCTACCTTCGGGTCTTATTCCTGCCTGAAACAGCAGGTTTTCGATAGTAGGAACGCATTTTACATTTCCACAAATACACATTGAGTCAAACGAAGATGAGCGCAGTGCCTTACCTGTTAAACCAATCGTCTGTGTACCTGGGGTAGGGGAAGGGGTCGTTGCTACTGAAGTCGTAACTGGCCTTGGCATTCTGAAAATAAGGTGATGCAACATGCAGTGATTGACACGGCTCTACGCTATTGACGGTATCTCAAAATGAATATGCCCAGTCGCGGTTATTTACTCTAAAATGCTTCTAGAGATTCCAAAGGAACACGATAGTGACGTAACAGTACGTAAAGAAATTCCGTATATGGCCACATACTGTATACAGTATATAGTATATACAGTGTATGGCCATATATGGCTACATACTGTATAATATATGGCTATACAGGGTATTATTATAGGCTTCAAAAATGTTTTTTTAAAAACCCGTAGAAAGCTGCACTACTCTGGTCAGGTAAGTTGCACGGTCAGGGGAATGTAATGTTGTCATAAAATCGTCACAATAAGTGGAATAAGTGGAATAATTAACTAAAATTTGTTATTACAGTTTTAATGAGGGAAATAGACATGTGGTTTCTAATAAAAACTTGCTAAGCATCATCAAAACCCACAATATGAGTATTTTAAAAACATTATGAGACGCGTGGCATGCGCAGTGCTACGCTAAAGTTAACACTCGTGCAAGGCTGTTGGCACGAAAGCGTGGACGATAAAAGGCGGAAATAACCGCGCGGGCGCTGTTTTCGCGCCACATGGTGTATAGCACCGTATTTTCCGGTCTATAATCAGCTCCCAGCGTTAAGTCTGCCGGAGCCAATTCAGGCAAAGAAGAAAAAGAAAAGTGTTTGCCAAATAGTCAACACCCGATGTATATTCCACAGGGGCCGATTTCATTAAAAAGAATCCTTTAGATAGTCCACACCTAGTGCATAGTCCGCATACACTACATTATTACACAAAACACGTATTGACAAATATTTTATAGGTATAGTACTTTATTAGCGCACAATTTGACGCCATAGAGATTGTGACTCAGTGCGTGCGACGAAGAAAAAGTGCGGCTCTCACCACCAGTTTAACCGGGAATAGCCTCGAAGTTATGAAAAGTAGAAAGGTATAAACGACTGAAAAACAAATCATGTCTAGTCCGCCCCTGTGAATTGTCCGCACAATGTATAATACACGATTTTGTAAAAAAACAAAAAAAAACAAAAACATAACGTGTATAGTCGCACGCGTAGATAGTCCGCATAGCCTAAACATTCAACTTTTAAACATTTATAGTCCGCGAACATGTAGAGTCCCGGTAAGCACGGCCCCTGATTGCACGAGTGGTGCCATGAGCGCACCGCCGCGCATTTTCCACATGCCCCAAATTTCTATTAAATTTACCTATTTAGAAGTTTTCGATGACGCTCAGCAATTGCTGTTCGTTTGAAGCCATATCTATTTTGACGACTAAATTGTTAATTACCAATTTTAGTTCATTTTTACAATTATTGAGATGATTATTTTTGTATGGTATTCTCCCTTGGTCCTATAACTCACCTGCACAGACCGTATTAGTGTAGTTTTTAAGAAATCTGTAAACTCTTCAACAAAGAAAAGTTAAAAGCGCGGAATGGAACACGGAAGAAACGAGAAACACGTACAAGGACAGGCGCCACTTACAACTGAATTTATTCAGTTCCAGCTCTTAACCTGTTAAATGACATGAACCAACTATACCCAACCGTATTTTTATTGTATTATATATATATAAAAGAAAAGATAAACAACCTGGATGGGATCTTACTGGCGCAATTCATGATATTGCCATATCTGACATTTCTGTACGGGAGGTTATCTCAAACCTTTCCCCGTGCTTCCCTTTCCTAGTTTACCCGCTTACAATATGCTCTAGCCATCTGAAAACACCAGCAATACTTCGTGTAACCTTAAGGGGACGCTAAACCACCTTCTGCGATAGCCTATTTGTGGTCATAGCTCAATCTATGGGCTCTAAAAAAAATTCAAATTTGAGGGTTTTACGTGCCAAACCAACGACGGGCATCTGGCACGCCCCAGCGGAGGACTGAGGATTAATTTGGACCACCTGGGGATCTTTTGACGTGCAACCGAAAGCTCGGTTACACGGCGCCTTCTCCGCAATAAGCCTAGTCAGATTGCGGACACCTCGGTCGGGATTCGAACCCGCCACCTGGGGTTCCGTAGGCCGTTAATTAACTCTCGCCTCGGAGCCACCGAGACGGCTCAATCTATGGGCTCTAAGCACCCTAAAAGTAAAGTCCAAACATTACTTTCATGCATGGCCAATTTATCTATTCAAATCCGTATCAAAAAATCAATTTCCTCGGAACAATCGTAGACACCAGAGGGCGCGGTCGTACGAGGAGGGGCACGGGTAGGGGCTTTAGCAAAGGTCTGCCGCTGACGCCATCTAGTGTCGATATTTTGATATTCTTTTCAATAAAGAAATTGGTCGCGCACAAACCTGGTTTCTTAGGATGCTTAGAACTCATTGATTAAGTTATAACCATTAAAAAAAAAACTATCGCAGCAAGGGGTTTAGTGACTCTTCAGGACTGGACGCTACGAGCGGATGGCACCAATCTGACATCGTTTAAAGCACACCTCATGAGTCTTCGTCATATATTTTTTAGTGTTCTATCTCCGCTGAATCAATCATAAACAAAACAAGCCAAGTGACATGCACTTTTGACACTGCTTGATTGGTTTCGTTAACTCGTAGCGTCGGCTGCGTCTGGACTTAAGCTGGAACGAAATATACAAAATGTAATCTAAAGCTTCTAATGCACTTCACACGGCCTGCAAAAATCGGTTTCTGAACGTAACGCGCTGAGATTTACTACAAAGGTGAAACCGCATGGGATGAAAATATCAACCAACAAAAAAAACTTACCTTTTTTTAAAAAAATAATCCTTTTTCGGGTTATTTGCCGCGGCATTCGCAGACGACGCGATGACCGGGCTCGCCTAGTTAAACCTGCCGTTGACAGATGTCGGAAGCGTTGAGCGCGCCGGCGCCGAACTTAGCAGAGGAGCTTCGGAAACTTCGCTGTGCCGGAGCGCGTCTTTGCTGGCGCGATCGACACTTCCGGCACCTGTCGGCAGCAGATTCAACTAAGCGAGACCGGTCATGGCCTCCGAGCTACCGAAGCGCGCGCGCGAAGAAGTGTTCGCGCGCTTCGGGATCTCGGAGGCCATGGACCGGTCATGACGTCGTCTGCGAATGCGACGACAGATAGCCCGAAACAGTTTTTTTTTCTTTTTTTTTTCTTTTTTGAACAAGGTAAGCTCATTCGCTGATATCTTCACCCCGTCCTTCCACCGCATGGTAGCACCTCTGTAGTAAATATCAGCACAATACACTGAGAAACCGAAGTTACCGACGAGCCGCATAAAGTACGTAAGAAACGTTAGTTTACATCATGTAGACAGAAAGCTGTAGTGCTGAATTTGACAACGCCACCTACCGAGGGCAGGCGTGGGGCATACATTGGGCACAACGGCTACGTCGGCGTTTGACCGGAACTTGTGTGTAATAAGTCAGAATGCGAGTCAGAGCCAAAGGCTGACATAGAACTCGCGTTGTCCAATAAATGTCCCCGCGCAGGCCCTCAGTAGGTGACGTCGAATATTCACCACTACGGCCTTATATCTAGGTTACGTTGTCTCTGGCCCCGTATCGGTGGAGGGGAGGAATCGCGCAAAATTGTGACGTGACTGACAACCAGTGACGTCACAGCATCTTATCGGTGACGTAACGAAATGAGAAGAAAACCGCCGGACGACTCTTTCGAACGTCCAGCTTCCAGCACACGCTCGGTGCTTCCCGTCGTGCTTTAGCTCCAGGTGCACGCTCAAAGCTCGCAAGACTCCCACGTGTTAGCGAAAGCAGGGATTAGTACAACTGAGATCTCCCTGCCGTTGTTATCCTATCAGGGGCTAAGTGGCATGCATAGCTTTTCGCCTTTGAAATGTACTTTGCTAATGCTATGTGAAAATGTAGGAGTCATTTTTCTTTGTGGGTGATTACAGGTAAAAAAACACACTACACTTTAAAAGGTATTGGCAGCGGAAAGGAACTGAGAGCGCCTTGCAATGGCATCTCAAGAATAAAAGAAGAGAGTCGGCGCATTTTCAGAAAGTGCAGACAATCTCGCTCGAAAATGAAGAACCTATTCTAGTATTTATCGGCAAAGGCTCGGACAAAATTTTCTGATAGTTCATTTAGACGCCAGTCTCCTGAAAACCTTCCGATTGCAGACGATCTGGGCTTCTGCACTTTCCCTGCTATACACCCACGCTGGATCTGGCATCCTGTCGCTGTGGTGGCACTACTATCGGCACGGCGCATGGGCAAACGCTTTATCTCTCACAAATCTGGTTTTCGCTCAAGCGCAATGGCCACACTTGGTGGGGGGAAAGCAGGTGCAAAGGCGGAGACGTTTACAGACGGTCAACGCTTTTGCCACCTCGTAGCAAGTCGTATTGCAAACGTGGCATATAAACCACGTGACCACGTAACCCCGATCAAGCCGCTGGAAACTCTTTGTAATACAGCTTTGGTGCTAGTCAGCACCAGAGCCGTATTTGTAGAGAGTTTGGCCATTCGTTGGGAAGTATAGGAGACAAATGAGGAGGCGCCATTGGCCAAAAGCGGGCTGGGAGTGTTCCAGGGCGTCTTCAAAAATTCTAATGTGGCCAACCAGAAGCCGTGAATAACACCCTGGTGGTGGTCGCGAGAAACAGATTTAATAAGTGCGTCAGAGTAACTCTCGATGACTGAAAGTATGGTGCACGTGATGTTTCAATCACGGTCATCCAAAATCATGGTGAAAGAGTGCGACTCTAAGGAACGATTGACATAATCCGTGCGCCAGGCCCCGAGGGCCGGGAAGCTGCCGTCCGAGCGGTCTCACACTGTCCGAGCAAAACATTATTGAGCGGCACATTCGTTTCTGACATCTTTCTGCATGACCATGATCGAAACGTCACGTGCACCCTATTTTCAACCATGAAGAGGTACTGCCTTTCACTCTTACCCGCTTATTAAAACCATATACCAACATATACTTACGATTAAAACAGTTTCTCGCTACCACCGCTGTGCGATTCTTTTCGGCTTCTGGTTGGCCAAGAGAGCATGTCAAGCCCTCTTTCTGCGTCTGGTGCACGCCTTGGCTCTGCCCGCACTTCTCATTGACCAAGCTCTCTCTATACACGTCTCTGGCCAGCACGCTCAACGCCTCCGACATCTGTCGGCGGCAGATACAACTAGGCGAGCCCGGTCAGGACGTCGTTTGCGAATGCCGCGGCAGAAAGCCCGACACAGGTGTTTCTTTTTCTTTTTTTGAACAAGGTACGTTCGTCCGCTGATATTTTCTCTCCAAGCTTCCACTACTTAGTCACACTTCTGTAGAAACGGATTCTTGCGAACCATTAAAGTGGGTTCAAAGCGTTAGTGGACATGCTGTAGTTACATGTTTCTTGAAGGTAAACGTTCGTCAGCCCTCTGCCGAACGTTTACCTTACTTTTTTCTGTAACGAAGTAGCAACTTAGTTACTTTTGAGAGGAGAAACGAGCAACATATTTTCGGTACATAATAATGAAGTAACAAGTAACTGTATTTGCTTACTTTTGGAGAGGAACGGGTAGAATACAAGTTAACCTATTTGGCTTTATCCCAGCTCGCGTCTGTAACTTTCAAGGCAAAAAGAAGAAAAGAAAGAAAAACTGCAAGCAAGAAGAAATAAAAAACTGCCCGTGAATGTCTTAAAAAGCTAGGCATTATTAACAGCCCAAAATATTTAAACCGGCTTGTGCTTAAAAAAAAAAAAAAAAAAAAAAAAAAACGGCACGTTATGAGGAACGAGAAAGTAACTCGTTAATTTTGAGCTGATGTAACGTAAACTTTTTTCTAATTTCTGTAAGGAGTAACGTACTTAATTACGTTTTGATCGAGTAACAAGTAACGGTATTTACGTACTGTTCTTAGTAACGCCTACATATGTCTGTACGAGAAGCCTAGCTACGTAACATCCCCTTTCTCAGCTATCTCGACGGCAGCGTGCTCGCCCCTGAGCTAGGCCAGTAGGGACAACCCCGACACAGCGGACCTGCACAAAGCCGGCTAAACGATCCCGACAACGGCACGCGGCAGTTCCTTCATCGCGTCCCTCGGTGACAGATTGAGCGAGGCGCGGGGCCGCAGATTTCGGACCCTTGTCTAAGCACTGTTGCCAGGTGGGCGCTTAAGAGCTTGTTTCCCGCTAATGGAGTTCCACGCGCGACGCTCACAGGAGCTAATTAATCCTCGAACCCACTAGCCAGACAACGAGGCGTGATCGTCGCCCTTTCCCTCTACCTCCGCTTTTCCTTTCTTCTCAGTCTTGCAATTAACAACCTCAGCGCGCGGAAGCACGGTGAAAGCAGGGGGCGCCATCTAGCGTAACAGCGAGAAACAGTAACGAGACGCGGGAGAAGGCGGAGATCGATGATGCGCACGGTGGTTAAGAGAGGGCGGCATAGGGAAAGGGGTCACTCACGTAATTGTCCCGAAGGTCCGGGTGCATGTAGTCAACCCCTGGAGAATGGGAAGCAAGAAAAGGAACAACTGAGGGCGTAGTTTGTTGTTCTTATGCGCGACGGGACACGCTTGACGACACTGATATCGCTAGAATCAAATGGCTTTTTAAGGCTTGCGCTTTTTTATTGAACTGAGCGCGTTTAGCTTCGGATACAAGATGAACTTATATTTATTGTTTTAAAGTTTTGCTTGTTAGCGAATAATGATTTTTTTTGTATTTATGCACAAAAGTCGGAACATTCTAATGCATTTCCGTTTACTATAAATTTCACAATAGTTTAGTATCGTTTGGTGCACCCTTTTGATAGAGTTAGGTCATTTGAAACCTAAGTCTATTAAGAAAAATAATAATAAACAAATTCAGAGTTCTGTATGAAAGCTAGCGTATTGAGAAATAGAAAATCCGGAAACAATTAGAAACTTTTTTAATCTGACTTGCCCTCTCCAATTACATGTTATTAAAATCATGTCTCTTTTTTTCTTGTTTTACGTTACGCATACATTTAATGCGCCCCAATAGCTTATACACTGTAGCAATAGACGTAACTGACTATCGTAAGAGTTACATAAACAATTTATTCTTCACGTTGCAACGAATCGCCTAGGATGAACCGATTCGCTACGAATCGATGTCTTCTCAGATTCATATATATAATATTTCCCCGTTTTACATCGAGGAGGAGCAACTAAAAATAATTGCTTTTCGAACGTATAATTTCTTGAGATCTGCTTCTTAACGGTGATACACATAGTTATACATACATTATGTTACTTTGAATACATTTTTTTTGACACATATACATACGTATGTATGTATGAATGGATTCATGCATGCATGCATCCATTCATACATACATACATACATACATATGTACATCCTTCAAGAAAATCTATAGAAAGTAATACAATGGTTTTCGGCGACAAGGCTAAAAGCAATAGATGTCTAGCGAGGAAATGGACTCGTTTAACTACGGCAATTCATGACAATACATGTAGGAGGTATTCGAATACACTGTAAAACAAAATGCATACAACAGCAAAACCGAAGAGAGTTCAAAGTCATAGTTTACAAATATTAAAGTTAAGACCCAAAATACCAACTTTTTTTTCAATTTGAACAAAAACACTGTTGCGCATATTTTCTCGGCACGTAAAATACCTTTAATGTTTTTTTCTGCTAGAATAACATATATATATATATATATATATATATATATATATATATATATATATATATAATTACTTGTTCATTTATCTGAAAACTTTATCTCTGGCACCTCAAAACAATATCCGGTCTACGAATGGGATTGTGAGTTTTTCTACGCACTTCCTTGTTATTTCATATGATTTGCTCTTAACTTCTAACCCCAAGCTCAGTAAGGAACATTGAGCTTACCGTCGTCCATGATGGCTGTCGTAACATTCTTTCCCGTGAATCCCTGCGCCCAAGCTGCCTCCACGTTCAGGTCCAACCTCGGCTTGCCTCCGTTCTGTCCCACGTTTTTCTGAAAAAGAGAATGCAAGCAAAAACATTGACGTGTGCATAAAAAAAAAAAAATACTTTCCAAGAAGAACACAATCTATTCCGCTCATTTTCAATAGACAAGGCGCCTACAGCGCCGAATCCTCCCCTAGCGGTGGGGACACCCCCCCGTCCGCGAGAACGCATGCGCATCGCGCTATGCTGCGCCGAAGAAGAGGGCTGCCGCCGACGCACTGAGATACCGGATTTCCCAAGACGGCAGAGACGTCTGTCTCCGCTGTCTCGAAGACTTTCCACGACGATAGATGGCGGCAGGCCCCCCCCCCCCCCCCCCCCCCCCCCCCTTCCAAATTAAAAAGGGAAAAGGCTGCGCGCGTCCAGATGTTCCGACTAGGCAAAAGCTGCCTGCGCCAAGGGCATTGGATTTTCGAGAATTAGACTGTATTTTCTAGTAAAGCATTCACACAAACCTAATAATGTACCTAACATATATTTTACATTGTACTGACGTCCCACCCAAACCTTAAAAAACAACTCTTAAAAACAAAAAACAAAAACTACCAGAACAAACATTTCTTGAGAATTTATTCAGCAGCATTGAAAATGGATTCATGCTCTTTCTCTCTTTCTTTTTTTTTTCTCGTTCGTGGATGACAAAGAAGCCATTTTGTGCAAAATTTGGGGAGAAAATAACCCGCAACGGGCACAAATGAGACGTACAGGTCTTGTCAAAGGGCGTATTGATTTACTGGAGACAGCGGATATCAGGAAAAAAAAATAAAGCTCTCCTTTTCTTTCTTTTTGAACCTCATTAAGCTCTTGTTTTATCTCGTTAATTTGTTTTTACACGGGGTTTGAAAGAAGGGCTAGTACAATAGGCTAAGAAGCCTGACGAGGCACCAGTCCCTTGGGGTTCACATAGGCAGTACAAGCAACAATATGAAAGGAACAGACCTCCTCGCTTTTTTGACGTACCTACAGATTTTGAACTTGTCATGGTCCCGACGAGGGCTAGAGCGGAAGTTTAGGACCCAAACTACGTACTGTTTGACTGGTTGAGGTTTAACGAAGGTTGTGGGAGCCGTGAAATTAAAAAGAAGAAAGATTAACTTTTCTTTTTCATATTGCTTCCGATAGTACACAAATAGAAAAAAGAAGAAAAATGAATTCTGCTGAAAGTTACAAACTCGACAAGATGATCGGCATCTTCCCGATAAGATAAAATAAATGATTGTCAAGAAAACAAAATAACACGAGGTACACAAGATAGAAGAATGGTTGAATGTAGTACGAACGCAAACCTATAACGTAAAACTCCTAGCAACATTAAGGGCGAAATAAGGGTTCACGGCAGGAGAAGAAATTTTTCTTCTATTTTTTGATAAGTTGAACCTATCACGTACACCCAATTAACTCGAAAGGAATAGTGCACAAATTGCATTTCAAAATCGAGCGGTTTGCTAATCAGTATTTTGTTTCGTCAGCAGCAAGATTCTGTGACGTCGGTGGTTACAAACCACGCGACGCGTTTGGCGCATTTTGCTTTTTCCACCAAAACGGGGAAGAGAAAACGCGTGAATCTGCGCGTCAAGGTATTTATCCGGATTATCCCTTGAAATAACAGTTTCCAAGTTTCGAGCAATTCGTCTTGAAATCTAAAATCCACTTTTCTGTCTCGTTTAAAACGGGGTTACCTGTATTCCATCTAAACAAAGGAAGGTACAATTCTAGGTGACGCTAATGCCGAGCCATCGACCGAATGGTGGCGTAGAACTGCCCAATTTCTGGCTGTTACTATTTTCACTGGGACAAAAGCTCCTCTTACACGACCTATCCCTCTTTATCCTTTAGCAGAGAAAGCCCCGGAGGGGTGGTATGTGGAGAGGAGGAATCCACCAATCAGGGCGAGCAGAGAACTTTGTAGGAGGTGCCTCTCTTTGTTTTTTTTTTTTTTTTTTTTAAGTCGCAACACGCTACATTCCTATGATAATCATGGGACTGGACGAACTCATAAAAAAGAGAGCAGTAAATATAAAATAAAAAGCTGATTTACGTATGATTCATGATAATTCTTTACCACAAAAGAACACGTGTGGATACTAGTAAGCGTAATTGAAATCAGCTGTTTATTTCGTTTATAATAATGTTGTGCGTATGATAATACAGCCGGAAGTTTGTCAGCCTCGATGGACGTCTGGTTTTTCAGCTGTAGATGAGAAATGTAGCCAGTGCAGTACAACCGCTAGCCTGAGGTCTTTTACGTGCATCACGCGGTAGTGATGCACGACTGCACAACGATACGATACTCATCCGTATCGAAACGGGCACGGGTGGGGATTAAACCCAGGGTCCCTGTGTTCTACAGCGCGAGCTTTCGCTTCACATGCTCCGAGCTGGCGCGCGCTAAGGCCACTGGATCTTGTGAAAGTAGCACCAAGCTCCCCGTATGATCGCCATTTTGGATCATGAAATGAGCAATTTCCGCTTGACCTCTCCGTTTTTGGTGAGCCAATCTAAATTCGCTGGTTATGGGTAGCTTTATAGATACGCTCCTTGTATACCGAGATTTTGATATCCACGCACCGGCGAAACAAGCGTACATCTTTGTAGCGCCACCACATGCGGTGTCGGTGCTTGCAGGCATTCAAAACTAATTTTATTGTCTTCCGATTCGCAAAAAGACCAATATCATCGTAAGAGATCCGTGGAGATGGGCGCGATTGATAAGTTGATTGCATACACAATGCCAGAGACGCGTATATTGGTGAGGAACGCTTCCAGGACGATGATGCTCCAGAGCAATCTTGGTGCGACTGGTTTAGAACGACCCTCTCGAAGCTTGGAAGGTGTGGAGGGGCCAAAATGGCGATTGCCATGGCAACGGACACCCATCATCCAATCACCTTGCGAGGTTTTGGTCGTCCGTATGTTAGTATCTGTTTGTGTCCGGCTAGCAGGCAGGGAAGGCAATGGCGCTACTCTCCCGGAATCCAGCGACTTTAGTGCGCGCTTGCCCCCACGGCCACCGATACCCATATATCGTCGTCGGCTTTAGCAAAATAAATAAATAAATAAAGATTACGACATTCTGCTCTGTAAAGGGTGCTTTGCCACAAAAGGACCCTACATGAGAAAAAGCCCACCTCATGCACACGCTGTGAAGGTCACACCTTTGAAAGTTGAAGTGTCGCTAAAATCACGAAACCAATCAGTGTGTTAGAAAGAAAAGAAAACAAATACTGTAATTATAACCTTAATGTGTTCTTGTTAGGAATCGAGTAATATGAAAAGATATTGATTGATTGTTGACGACCATAATTTTATCATCTAATTTGTTTTGGGGATTGCATATACCTGACTTCACGAATAAAGATTCCCTATTAGTGAAAAGACGGTGAGAGTGCAGGCGAGCTGGTGGTAGCTAATCATGTCGTATTACACCTGAGACTGCGGTGGAAGAAATCAGAAGAACTTTCAGTAGAAGGAACAGTCACAGAAAACATCTCAAGAACGTTCCTTCTACTGAAAGTTCTTCCGATTTCTTCCACCGCAGTCTCAGGTGTAATACGACATGATAAGATTCCCTAGCTTGCTGATCTGTAAAGGCTACTTTCCGCAGCAACACTTCGCTTGAGGGGAAGCCATACTCGCGGCGGCAATAGAAATCTAAATGGGAAATGGATATGGCGGTAAGCAAAAGCCTTTGTAAGAGAATAATGACTAAAACTATTGTTCTAGTTGCAATTATTTGTTAATTTTCGCCTTAATCTCAGGGTTTGTTTAGTATTTCAATATTCTAATTAATACTGGTGTCTGTTTTTGTTTTGTTTTGTTTTCGATACTGTGCACCTAATCGATCGCAAACAACATGCTGCCCACAGGTGCTTCACCAAAGTGAAACTCAGCATGAAGGGAACAGGGGCTCGCGAATCCGTTGTAAACGTTGCGCGTTCAGAAGCTTGGGGACAGTGAACGTTTTACAGCGACACGTTCGTACGAGGCGGTTTTGCAAGGAAGCGAGTTTAGAAACGCTATCGCTCCTCCAGGACCAGTGCTGCAAGAAAAAACTAATAATATTAATAATTATTATTATTATCATTATTACCATTCTTCTTCTTATTATTATTATTCCTTCTCTATTACCTGGGAAAACCACTTCAATACCAGCTTTTAAAACGCCTCTAGATTGTGATCGTGAAACTTGTACCGGTATTTTTGTTTTTATTATTTTCTTCGGCGCTAAAAAGAAAGCTTGTAAACATGCAGATAGCTAAGACAGCTGACATTGAAAGACCATCTTTGGCCACTAAATAAATGTTCAGCCTTATCGCTCGTCAATTATCATCAGTTGATGATTCTCAAGTGAAGAAAATGTCGCTTACAACGGGTATTGGGTATAACTATGATTGATCAAGATTACCTTTATTAAGTCTTATTTTACGGCCTCAAAATTTGAATGGGCTATAGTACGGACCTACGGTTTGAGCGCTGCCCGTCTAGTGGTCTTGCCCATATACCAGCGTTTCAACGACTTAAGCACAAGCTTAACGCATAAGGGTACAAAAGCGAACAAAACCAATTGCCGTAGTCGAAACTAGCTCGGCTAAAAGAGGTGTCTTGCTATTTTTCCCGATTTCACAATTTTAAGGCCGGTTCACACACTTACGACTGCTTACGACCTCGCTCTTTAAATCCTCTTGAGATCTGTTAGGACGAGAAAACACACTGGTGCCGTCTATTTTGTGGCCGTGGAACACTGTTTTTTGCAGATAATTTTTTTACTGCGCTTTTTTGACAATGTTGTAGACAATTCTTTCTCATAGATATAAGTACATTTGATCTCGCAAGTACCGGAAAATTTTCGCTCTAGTGAAATGCAGTTCCAAGGTCCTGTCATAGGTGGCGCCAGCGTGCCTGTGTCTTCTCTAGGGAGGCTCTAGTTAGGGTGGGCGCAACTTAAAACCTGGAGGGCATTTGCAGTTTAATGGCAGCGCCTGAAAGAGAGGATTAGGAAAGGATATG